TTACCATTTGGAAAACCCAAGAGGTCGATAAGATGGTGGAGGAGGAGGTGGAGGGGGAGCGGAGAGGGAAAGGAAGAGGCGAAGAGCGCCACGGGTGGAGGGGGAGGAGAGGAGAGAATGAGTTGGGGTATGGAGAAATCCTAGAGGTAGAGAAGACGACAAAGAAGGTGGAGGAGGACGGGGAGGGGCAGATGGGAGGGAAGGGAGGAGGTGGAGAAGGACGGGGACGGGGAGAGGAGATGGAAAGGGGAGGAGGTGGAGAGATCAAGGTAAAATGAGTTTTTTTGAATTTTTTGAGCTAAATATTGTTCAAGGTGTGACAATGCAAACGTGTAAGCAAATATAGGTGGCTTTGATCAAAAATAAAAATTAGAGGTGGTAAGTATCAGTTTGGACAAAAGTTAAGGTCATTTTCATGTAAAAACCCTAGATATATTATAAATGTAGTGGTTAACCGTAGCATAAAATATGACCTAAACATGATGATTTGGCAACCGGAATACACAGCAACTTAAACCCATTTGACTTCAGTAATGTATGGATGTCCATAAAAATATGTCGTCCTAGTAATTAATTCATTATTCCTTAGCATAATACCACATTATTCTAAAACTTGTCCTTGCGTGATTTATGACAAAAACATTGCTCACAGAATCATATCTAAACTTGCATGCGATTGTAGATATACACACTGTTACAAATAGTGGTAAATAACATCGCAATAGCAGCGCTAATAGCGTTAGCGATTCCTTCCCGTCACGCTATCGCCCAATAGCGGTGACATATTGCAGAATATGTGCTTTGCGCTCGCAAAAGTCGCCAATAGAGCGCCATAGCAGTGAATAGCGGGCGATTGCGGGCAAAATCCGCTTTTTGATCGCTATCTAAAAGCGTTTTGAGATTTATTTTTTTAAAATTAAACATGATCCATAACCACTGCATCCCACCGCCTCCCACGATTTTTGGCGTATTTCACAGCCTCCGGCATCTCCCTCAACACTTCCTCTCACCTCCTCTCGCCATGAGCTCCTCCTACTGCAGTCCTCTCATTGTTCAGCTCATCTTCTCAAAGACCATGGCTCTTTGACTTCTCCTCCAGTAGTGTTCAGTATTATGTGACGATTACATGTCTATTTCATATTTTAAATCTCTTTAAATCATCAAATATACATTTTTAGATTTTCTAGATTTTTCTTTAAATTTTCTTATTTTTTGAATATTTATACATATCTAAATCAGACCGCTAATTGACTTTGCGTTTTTTACCGCTATTTTACCGTAATAGACCTAAATAGCTTTAGCGATGCCTCACCGCTACGCAATGTTATCCACTATCGATAACCTTGGATATACAGAACATCATTTTCTAGATTCATCACACGTTATAGGAAGGGCATCAAGAGGATAACATGCATCAGTGATTATATTAGCTTATCAGTAATCATCAAATCCTACAATGATCATCCAACATCTCCTAGCGTTATTCCTTGACGATGTCTGAATTATTATTTTTTTTAAGTCATTTCCTTCTTGATGTGTAACACTTAAAAGCGATTGTGTCATAATCATTGAAATACCAGATTACAATTCATGACAAAATCCAACTCTACTAACTTGAGATCACGTTCAGTGCACTTAATAGAAACTAGAAAGACCACGATCCTAAGATATTCGACAATCCAACTATCACAGAATTACTTTAATACAACGATAAACTTCTACGCTAACTTTCTGAACTAGATATTCGAACCCATTATCTCCATCCAGCTCGAAGGGCCAGCCTCCATTGAATTCAAAAGTTATAATAGCTTTATATTGCCATTTAAAATGGTACGCTCAAATTCGAGCTATTACTGCAGCAATCAATCTTAAACTTGTCAAGATTACAGCCATTCATACCCTAGCTTCCGCATACTAACAATACATGATTCTGAGGATTTTGGTTTTCCACAACAATTTAATAAATCAACTTGCGTTCTAAGTAACATTACTCATTATAATCCAAGTTACCTTGGAACCCAAAGTAATTTATTAATTTTTTGTCAACGAAGTCGAACGATCTCGGGATATTTTACTCACTATAATCCATTTCCCCTCAATAACCATTTGAATAAGTTTAAAATCAACATCTACTACTTAAAACAAAACCCTAGAAACTGAGATTAGTAATCAAAAGATTGAAAAAAAAAAATCGTCAAGGTTAATAGACGTACCTGAAAACAGTACGAAATTGAAAAGGCCCAGATCTTTCCGCAAAAATGCCGAGATTTTCAAAAAATAATTTGGGAAATAAAATTCTTGCGTCTCGTAGATGTGAGGGGATCTACTGAATAGGGATATAAATCGGCCGAGATTTTGGTTTTGGGTTACAATCCGGATCCGTTTAAGAACCCGTTAAGACAGGTAAAAATCCGGACCAAATCCATACCCGATAAGAGTTAGAATATTGCTAAAGAACTATAGGGCATAATAGATTAGTTGTACGGAGATTTGCCCGCAAATCTTCCGTGCTTTGAGATTAGTCCCCCAAATCTCTGTATTTTGAAACTAACCCCCCTGAAGTTTTTTATGTGTTTTAAAATTAGTCCTTTTAGCTTGTAGTCAGTTGAGATTCTATTTTCGGTGCAATATTGGTTATAGTTCTATACATTCGAGCTTGTGAGTGTGATTTAGTAACTATCATCGAGACCGAATTGCAATTTTGAATTCTCTGGATTGCGTGTGCATAGTTTTGACCGGTCGGGTCATAACTTTATTCAGAAAAGTCCAAATAATTTCCGATATGATGCTCTGCGTCAGTCATCAAGTCTAGTTTCCATGGGCACTGTTTGGCAACAAAAAAAAGTGTCTTATCTTAGAGCTTGTGTCTTATTGACTTGGTCAATAAGCTAATAGAGCTGTTTGGTGACCAAAAATAAGAGGAGATTATTTTGAAGATTGTGTCTTTTGCAAGTAGCTTTTGGAAAGCTATCTCAAGTAGCGTTTGTCTTTGGGAATGAGCTGCCAATTTTTTTCTTTCGTTTTTGCCCCTAATAATTCTAATTTTATATCAATAATATTGCATGTCTTTTTTAGTCATTTAACAAATTTAAGCTAGTTGTACAGTTACTTTTGCCAAACAGCTCTAGTCAATCAGCTAGCTACACAGCTAACAGCTTTCAGCTACAATTTCACAGCTTTCAGCTAGCTTAACAGCTTTCAGCTATAATCTCGTAGCTTTCAGCTAGTTTTGCCAAACAGAGCCGACAAATTTAGCATAATGTGGATGCTCGTGCTAAAGGTTATAACGAGAATACTGAAGGTTGGTACGACCTTTCTGAAAGCGGGTCGGGTCCGGTTTCCAAAAACGGGCACGAGACAGCTTTGCACCCGACAAGCAAAGAACCCGCACCTCTCGGTTTCTTGACAAGCGAACCGCCCCCAAAAGCCCACCAACTCCAAAATAGGCAGAGAGATCTCCAGGCGGCGGCGGCGGCGGCGGCGCCAC